GCATTTGTAGTTAATAAGTTATAAGCATTTAAAGCTAAAAATAAGTTGTTGCGTTTCTTTTGTCAGCCACTGTATATCTTTACCAAATAAGATTTTCGATAGAATTTTCCAATATTATAGAAAAGATAGGAATAAGAAAATGTATCCTCTTTTATTTGTTAATAAGCAATGGTATTATATTGCTAGAAAACTAATGTGATAAAGAATATCTCTAATAGCCATTTCTGAGATCAAGTTCACTAAGTCATTAAATAAAGATACGAAGCCAGTCGCATGTGCACAAGTATTAGGTCTGAAATTTATTGGAGAAATAAATATAGAACCAGATGTATACATTTCTGAAATGTATAAGGCATGCTCTAATTTATAATGGCTAAGTTTTGAAAATAGTGGGTCACGTATACTTAACAATAAAAATCTAGAAGCGCTTCTAGTTGAGTCATCCAATTTAAAAAGACTCACAATAAGAGGTTCTAGGTGCATAAGCCTGAAAACATTTTTAAAAATTCCAGGGCTGACTCTTAGTTTGAGAATGATAGAAATTAAGGGTATTTACGAATTAGAAAAGAAATATTAACTGATTTTCAAAACTTATACCCAAAAATAAAACTCATAAATGAGTCTGATAAAAAATAGGATTAGATACCATTCACCCCCAAATTAATTGATTTTTTTTTTTAGCGTAATAAATATTCATAAATAGAAAATATAGTAAAATGGTATACGTAGAATGTAAAGTTTGGCATTTTTAGAGAAATGATGATATGAATCTAAAAAGTCATCATGAGGTAATGAAAGCAGGGTATAGACACTATACAGTCAAGGCATTGATTGACACAACTTCTAGCGTAAATAAAATTAGCAAAAGCTTAGCCAATAAACTTGAAAGACAATATGGAAAGCATTATAAAAACAAAAAAGTGAAAAACTCATTAGGGACCATAGATTGCTTAGATATATCTTTCTGATACAAAGAAAAAGATAGACTGGTCACTGATAGTGATGAAGTTTTTAATGATTTTAAGATTATTATGAAGCTAGAAAAAGCTGATCTTATATTAGAAATAGTATGGTTATGGATATGTGAAGCAAAAATAGATATGTGAAAAAAAGGGATAATAATATATGATGATTTCGTGCTATTTTGTAAGTATCCAAAAAAATAATAAATATTATTATTCAGAAATAGATAAATCTGATTCATCTGAGTCTGAAGTGAAGATAGTTGCATTTGAGTGCTATTCATCTAAAGAAATGAAAGTCAAATGCTATAAACCAAAAAAATACCAAACGATCTTAGAGAAAACACACAGTTGAGGGAGATTATTAAAGAGAATGCTAAGTATGCATACTAACAAAATGGAATATAGTTAGTTTTCTTATTTCGTATATAGAATTGTTAAAAGATCATCGGCTGGATGTACTAATCATGAAGTCTTTTTTTGATTTGTAAAAGGTAATGAATGATGAAATGTGATGTGTAATTGCTAATGAAAATCTGAAAAATGTTTTCTTCTGTGAAAATTACAAGTGCTATAAAAGTGACTGTATGAATTATGTTGGCAAGAAGTATTGGCAAAAGCTAGTAGTATATCATCATGTTAGATTTAGAGCAAAGTAGTGTGTCATCATCTTTTCTTATCAATCTTAGAATTCTTGAATATAAAATACTTAAAAGTCTTAAAGAGAAAGATGTTAGAGATATTGACGTTCCAGAATTAGAGTCATGTTCTGAATGTAATGAAAAAATTTTTTCATTTCCCATTACAGGATTTATCACGCTCGCTTGTAGCCATACTTACCATAGACTTTATATAGAAAAAAAGCTTCTAAACTTTTGCCCGTTCTCTGATTGTGAAAAGAATGTTGACGCTATAAAAGCTAAAAGGGTTCACAATCATCTTAATCAAGCGGTATTTTGGTTATATCAACTCTGATAGGTGAAAAGTTTAAAATAACTTCACCAATAATATACAAAGATGTTATAGAAGATGTGAAGGTTACCGTGTATTAATAAACTGAAAGTGAACAAAGCAATTTAACGTATACAAAATGTTTTGAAGATATCACCTAAGTATTTTCCCAAGCACCCTTAATATCGCTAGTATTTTTACCTTATAAGCATGCTGTGCATTACAATTGTATCGATAACCCGCAAAAGCTATGCTCTATTTGTCAATCATCTGAAGAAACTGAAGCAGAAAAAAAACATTCTAATGGGTTTGCTTCTGAAAAAGTTTCGAATAAAAAAGTGAAGTAGATCAGGAAACAGGTCAATAGAAATGCTTCCCTTATATTGAAAAATCTAATTATAGAGTTGACTTCTCCTGAGTCCCTAGAAGATGATCTCTCTCAAGATCCCCTCATCACTTTGCAGTCAAGTATCCCTAAGATAGATGTAAACTCGCTTGATTTTCTTAATTTATATAATAAGATTAACACTGCTAAAGATAATCTTCAAAGAACCACTCATGATTTGCTTTGATGCTATTATAATTTTGGTCAAGCTATTAAGCAGTTGTTCAATCATTTTAGAAAAACTTGTAATGAGGATGTATCTAATGCTAAAGTTAATAATAAAATCATAAATCAGATTTCTGTGCAAGATAAACTTACTGAGACTAACCTTTGAAAAAGAAAGGAACGGGATAAAAAAGTTTTTAGACTCTTTAGTAATGTTAGTAGTATAAAAGCAATAGAATAGTTAAAGTCTTTTAATGCTATTACAATCTTAAATCTATCCTCAGATAATGTTGATTTTCTTATTGCTAGATTAAACGAATAAATAGTACCTACTGCTATATATATTTTATGTAACTTTTAATAATAAAAGGCAATCTCTACTAAGACTTCTGCTATAACCATTTTTGATTTTTTATTTATAAAGTAGTGTAACATTAGTGCCATAGCTCTCAGAGCTAAAATCATAAAGTTTCCAATTTTCATTCTACCATATTAATCAGCATAAATAACTCTATTCTAAAACTTTACTAGATATCATTTGTTTAGCTATGACATTAATGTATCACTTCTCCCAATAAGATTTTGAATAAGAATCTATTTGACTAAATTAGCTGATCATCTCGAATATGTGCATTTTATTCGTAATAATTTTCAGGCTATCTGGCTAAAAAAAAAATCTGAAATCTGATTGTCTTGTAAGTCAATCTATAATTTATCTCATGATTTAAGTTGCGAGAAGGTTACGAGGAAGTACTAAGAACTGACTGGAAGTCAGAGTGATACAAATTTTTATGTTATATTGCAAAGTCTTCAGCTAATTCTTGTTAATCACGAGAGATCTACAAACTGAAAGTAACAGGAGAATTTTTTCATATATATTCTAGCTAAGTATTTTTTTTACTCTTATTCTTACTAAGATATTGTTCCTTTTGAGCTCAGTGTCAAGTGATTCTCTATGCATATACTGTTATGTATATTATATGATACCACTCTCTCAAGATTCAGTATCAAGTGATCCTGCATATATTATACTGAATCAAAAAATTATGCAGGGTAAAAAAAGCCCTTGCTAATATGAAAATATTGAAATAAAATTAGCTGATCATCCCATGATCTAGAAATCACTTAGTGCTATAATAGTATCAGGATAGTGTTATGGAATTGACATGAAACAAGTATTGTATAAATTTTTTCCAGTATTTTCTTAGTATTTTTTTCCAGAATCTAGGGCTTGACAAATTTTTTGGCTATTATCTAGATGGAAGGTTTTATCAGAAACATATGAAACACTTAAACTTCTGGAAAAATATAGAATTTCTGAATTTTCTGGAATATTTTTTCTGGAAATTTTTTAAGACTATATTATTTACCTTTAATCGAACATATGTTTAACTAACCAAATTTTAACGAACACTATAAGAATTTGCTTGACCAATTACCCTCATCCATGAAAAAAGATGTATAGTTACACCTTACAAATTGTAAAAATAGATCATTATCTGAGGAGCAGGTTAGGGTATTCATCTAGACATTGAGGAGTTACTTACTAGGGAGGTTAATAGATACCATAATAAAAAAAATCACCAAAAGATTAAGATTGAAGCTAATACCTCTTCCGATGGTTCTAATATATTATCCCAGTTAGATAGATTTAAAAAACAGTTAGAAGAATGTGAGTTTTGTGTATAATAACGGGAGAATAATATTAAGAAAACTATTGAGGCTCAGGTTACTAAAGAACGCAAATGTCTAAAAGATGAATATGATGCTTTTATAACTTGCAAAGAGAGTGAATATAATAATTGCATAGTAGATATAAAACAAAAGACATATTCATTTAAACATCAATTGAAATCCCAGCATAATTCATGCTCAGCTGAGCTAGAGAAGCAATATAAATCTTATATCTCTGCTTTGGATAAAGCTAATGCTATAAAAGATAAGAAGATCAGCAAGTTATCCTTTACTATTTTTCAGCTTAAGAATGAAAAACGGGATAAAGAAGACTGCTAAGTCTATATATAAAGATTTGAAGGATGTTATCTTTGCTAAAGACTTAAAGATTATTACTCTCAATGATAATATTATTTCTTATGCACCTTATGTTAGAAGAGATGCAACAATAGAACTAAGTTCATATTTTTCCCATCACAATACTGAATTATAGACTGGAAAGCGGAAAAAAGCAAAGAATGATATAAGTATCTAAAAAAAAATACTTTTAAATGCGTATTTGATCATTCAAGTTCATTCTAATTTCACTTTAGATTCTTTGTTAACTTTACCTAACTTTTTATTAACCTGATCTGAATCTTTATTAACCCAACTTTGATCCAATATAGACTCTTTATTGACCCAACTTTGACCTGATATAGACTTGTCATTAGTCTAACATTTAGTTAATTTATGATGTAAAAATAAATAAGGATATCTGAATTCCTTTTTACAATACTGACATGTATGGTCTGCTAGTTTTTTTTTAACTCTATAGAAATAATCCCTTTGGAATCCTCCTTTCCTACAGTATAGACATTGCGCTGGGATTTGTGAATTGATAAGGGAATAGTAATAGTCTTTTTGTTATATGTAACCTTAAATTCTCCTTTTATTAAAGCTCTCATCCAGCTCGATATTGCTATTGAGTACTGAGAATTACTAAAGATTTAGCATTTCCATTACAATCCTTTTCTGCAGACATAATAGAAAATTCATCCATGATAGTAGCTGTATTTTCTTCAGAATCAATTGTTATGGAAACATTATCTATAGTACTGATAGATATTAATTGACTTGCAACTCCATTAAGCTTATAAATTTTTTTCCTATTAATTTTAATATCTAAAAGCTTTTCGACAAATTCAGCAATATATTATCTGAAAATATGAAAGAATCTGAATCTGTATCAATCATTGCATATGATATTACCAAATCTCTTATTTTACAATAAATAGTTGCAATATTATCAGCATTCTTTATTTATAAACATTTATTTCTAAAGGCTTGGGCCAATATATTTGGCTATTTTTTTTTTCAACTGAATGATATTGCGTATATGCCTTAATAGCATAATTTAAAGTATGCCTGCTTCCTGAATAGATATTATCTGGTAATGTTTCTATTTTTATAATATTATTTGCCATTCTTTCAGCTTGATACGATCCCTTAAGGACCTGCTCTTCTTGAACAGATGTAGTCTGAGAAGGAGACAGAACTTATAAAAGAGACTTCTGCTTAGTATTTACTGTCTGTAATAGTGGAAGCAAAACTTCTTGTACTTTTTTTATAACATTCTTCTATGCTAATTCTCTTCTTTTAACTATGTCATTTGGCATAACAGTATTCAAGCAATGATCTTTTAATTTAGGCTCCATTGCATTAATAAATTTCAAAATTTCTATAAGAATCTCTTTAGGATAATGGGAAACTACTGATGATATTATAGATTTTAAAGCTATTTGATACATTTGATCCATAACTATATGAAGCATCTCATGGCTAATTATATTGCTCGATACTTTGGTATTTTCAACACGAGATTTAGAAGTAGGAGACTTCTTGATTGCTCCTTTCTTTTTCATAGATATTCTATCACATGCCACTTTTTTTTACAGCATGACAATTTCTAGATTTGCTATCATCTTCTTCAACATATTTATCATCATCTTCGATTTTCTCTTCTTCAGCTTCATCTTCCTCTTCCACTATATATTCTTCTATGTATTCTTCTTCAGAGTCTTCAGGAACTTCTACCTCATTTTGGTATACATAATTAATCTTTTTTGTTCGCTTAACTCCAGGACAATTAACCTTTATATAGTCAACTTTTTCACAGGTTGAGCAATAATGAACAACTTTCTGAGAAATAATTCATTTAACTGGTATTTTTTGTACTACCTTTCTAACAGCTTTCTTTGTAACATTTGTATTTCTAACCTGTAACTCTAAAAAGAGACTCCTTCTAACATGAATTGTTTATACTCTAGCCTTTTACCAAAATTATCATAAATAAAATGATTTAGAATATTAACATCTGATGCTAGCCCTGTATATTGCAAATCACCTGTAAGCCATTCCATAAAAGCAATTGCTTTAAGCCTTTCATCTAACGAATCTTTTTGTAATTAGGATATTAAAATCTGGTTAGGATAAGGTTGCTGTTCTGCAATTCTCCCTCTACTTTCTAACTAAATTCTTCACAAATCTGTGAAAAAAACATTTAAATCAGCTGAATTAGCTTGCCTAAGTCTCATTTCTATATATTAAGGCATATGTCCATAAAGATATTCTACAGCCTCCGCATAAAGAATTCTTTAAACATATGATTTAACACTTTTCTCATAAGTATTTTCCATATCTATTGTAATAAATTTTTCATTCATAAGAGCCCTTAAAGCATTCCAATTAGTTTTAACTGTTATCTCCCTATATTTTTCTTGTAGCCAATTTAAAAATTCAGCTTCTATTACTATATTATTCCCTCCATTATATGGATTTATTGCTGGTACAGGGTGAAATCTACTGGTCATCTTTCCTATCATTTTATTAGTTCTAGCTTGATCATTAAATCCTGCTACTGTTAAGGGACGTGCAGACTCATTTATGGTTCTAAGTTTTGCATAGTAACTGTTTGGTTCTTCTTGCCCATCATAAAATAGAAGCTGAGTAAGTTGAGGGTCAAAAGTTGGTTGATATCTGCCATAGTTACCATGTTTGCTAATGGATTATTTTGTAAATTCAAAATAATTTGCTATGAATTTATTTTTTTTTGCTTTTATTTTTTATATTGATCATATACCTGATCCTAATTATATTCTAATAATTCTATATCTGCTTGAGCTTGTCTATAATACTTTTTTAGATTTTGTACCTGCTATATACAAGTAGTATGTCTTCTCCACCATCTTCCAATATTATTAAAATACCTTTGTGAAATTCTTCTAAGATCATTTTTCTTAACATCAGAATGCTGACATGCTCTTCTTTCATCATTTAAGGCCTATATTAATATTTGATTATCACACT